CGAATATGTTTTCTATGCGTACCCCTCGTTACAAGGTGCTTTCTAGCCATTTGAAAAAGTGATTTTTGTCCCCGTTTTCTCGATTTTCGTCCAGTGTGCGGCGGTGCCCCTGAACCCGCGGCGCGTGCGTCAGACCGACCTGCTGGACCGGCCGGCCGTGCCCCCCCCCCCTTTTCCCTCCCTGGGTACTCTCCTGATAATAAACAAACGTGTAAAAATAAAAAGAACGCGCCGGCCGCGAGGACCAAGAGCAAAGCGGCGGGAGCGGCGGCGGTAGTCTGTAAGCAAGCAGCCCGGGGGATAACCCAGTCGTCGTGAATACTACACACGCACACGCCTTGTCCAGGGTGTCCACCTCTCGGTCCAGCTTCCAGCTGCCGGTGACCGGCACGGCGCCCTTGGCGGGACTTTGACACTGAGCGTCCTCTCCCACACCCCGCCCCGCCGCCCCGCCACTCGCTACCCGCATACATCAATTACTCGCCCGAGTGTGGTCTCGCGCGCAGATGTGCTGTGCTGCGCTCCGCCGACGCGCGACCGTGTATCATCACAAGAGGTCGCAAGTCATATTTCCCCTTATCTATCGGACCATATTAGAAGTGCTCTTTCATTCGGCTTTTCATACTTATTACGCGGGATTTTATTAGGTGTACTACGCTCCCAATGTTACGAGTCACTTTTGTGACATCGGCGAGTATCACGAGGGAACCTCTGGCCGAACGGCGACCTCCACCTCGTTGCGTCCAACGAGTGCCAGGTCCTACGTACTATACTACTGTTCGGTGCCGGACGACGCCGGACCCAAGGCCCGACGGTCACGACGGTCCTTTCCCCGGGCCGCCGAGCTGCAGTGTCACGGCCGGGCCGGGCCCCGGCGAGGAAAGGCAAGGCAGGCGGTCCCGCACCAAACGCTACACTGTTCGAGACACAAACAACAACCCGCGGGGCGCTCTGGTTTTGCCCGCGGGCCACGCTGCAGCGGGTGGGCAGGTCATCCATCCGATGACCGAGCACCCCCACCGCACCGCGCTGCCGCCCCTATCGCCTATATCGCCTCGCCGTCAAACGTCAGTACACACCGGTCACTATATATCCCCCTCGCTCGATAGTGTGCACAGCTGCAGCACTACTACTTTCAAACCGCGCAATTATTCTTTACAGGGAAATTTGATCGAGCGAAAACCATACAGTATTATACCATGCGGATGAATCACCTTGTCTCGTCCACTCCGTGGTCAGACTGTACGCGCGCACACACATTCCGTCACTCCGTCATTCCGTCTATCGGGGCCCAGGGGTAGGCAACCTGCCCGCACGCCTGTACAACTTTGAGCTGACCCACAACACAACACGCTTATGAAAATGTTTGCCAGTTGACTGTGTACCCCTCATCATCAGCTCCGCGCCGGCTCCAGAGCAAGCTCGGCGTCATACGCCTTTCCCAGCGGCCGGCCGGTCAACGCGCTTCGAGGAAAATTAAAGACGTGAATGTAAAAACCAAAGTCGCGAAAAAAATAAAAATGGTAAGGGAAGTCCCATAAGACATTGTACACACAAGTATACGCAAGCGTGATTTAGGGAGGGAAAAGTCCGCGGCCTTACCTGGCTGTTTTCTGATACTGAAAACTTTTTGAACTTTTTGGCAAATACAGGCACGCATGCTGTCATTCCCCCCCCCACCACCAAAATCAGCAGAACATTATTATATCATCCCCACTCCTGAATACTGAGCTTCAAGCAATACCTAGAAAACAAAGAATATCGATCCAAAAAATGTTGCGAACAACTGTGGTTTACGGCGATGTATCGAGTGAATGTGTTGCACGCGTTGCCAACGCCGCAAAAGGCCCCAAATAGCCTATATTTGCTTTCAAGCGGCAACACAAGGTCGGGATAGTGCGAAGCCCTGCCGGTCGAAGAGAAGCAAATAACTGCGCGTTTCAACTAGCTGGGCGAGAGAAAAATTCAGTCCTCACCAAGGGAAAAGTAAAATGGGGCTGAAGGGACGGGGGAACGCACACCGACGGAACTTCCCTCGAAAATGAATAACGCGATGGTTATGTGACAGCTCTTGAAAAAGAGGCGTGAGATTGGCTCGCTTCACGCCACACACCGCCACTTGTTGACTATGCACACACATTCCACCCCAGAGACACACCCACCCCTCAGCCTGCCGGCTTCGCCCCCTTGGGTCAGCACCCCACGCAAACCCATACCATCGTCACGTCAACGTCACTCTACGCCCACACAAACGCGCGCGCGCGAGAGGGCCGGCTGGCCAGGTCTGCGGTACTCCTGGGCGCGCCGGGCAGAAGGAGAGAGGCAGCGAAGCGCAGCGCTGCTCACGTCCGACTGACGGGACGGCGGCGGGCCGGCGGTGGCCGCAGCCGCAGCCTTTACCCCTACCGACCGCCCCGCCCCCGCCCCACACCCGACCGCCGCGCCCCGCCGCGGCTCCAGCGCACCGCCGAAGTATGGATGGAGGAGGCAGAAGGATCGCGATCGCGTGCACTGGAGTAGACCGCATTCGCACTCTACAACAAGACCTACTATGCGCACAGTCTTTGACTGAAAGGAAAGTCCACGGAAAATTGTGTTCCACCATATCAATGGCAATTTTCAATGAAAATTTCTTTAATTTATCAAAATTGACTTTAAATAAAATCAGTTCCCATTTAAAAATTTCATTTGATACCTATGATAGAATACTTCAGAAGAAATTCTTCGAAGAGACCGTTTTCCGAACGTTAAGTCGCGGTCGTATTTTCTGCAGAGGCTCAGGCTCAGAGCCGCAAAGGTCAAGTCACAAGCGGTCCAAGACGCGATCACGGGGGCGGGAGCGGCAAAAGCGTGGACAATGCCCACAAGGGGTGGCTTTACGGAACCGCGCAGGGCGAGTGGGGAGTGGAGGGGGCGCTTGGGCGGTTGGCGTGGGCAGGAGACGTGAGGGGCGGGGTCGTGGGCGGGCGGTACTATAGAGTTGGCGAGCAATGTCAGGCACGCCGCAGGGCAGCTCGGCGACGGCTCCAGGGCTCCAGGAATGCGAGCAGAGGGGGCTGGGCCCGGGCGCCGCCAGTTCGTGCCGCAGCCCCCATATTGTCACCACCACCACCACCACCACCACCGTCCTCATCATATTCTTCCCCCGCCCTCGAGACCAAGCCCACCACCAGTTAACAGCGCGGTGTCCCGAGAGCTCCGCGTCCTCGGCAGCTGTCAAAACATCCGCGGCGGGTTAGCTGGTGGTGTGAGCGGCACCCGGGCGCGCGCCTTTAGGACGTCCTTGAGGGCGTCGTTGCTCGGCCCCGCCCCGCCCTCCCTTCACTGGCGCACGCACTTCGAAGCACTGGACGCACTTTCGCCGGCCGAACAACAGAGATCACGCGACCCTGAGCCAGTTCACAGGAGTCCAGCTGTACCCAGCGGTAACGGCCGAATCGGCGGGCGCGGGACCCGAGAATCGAACTTTTGGTCCGACTCGCATCCTCATCCACCCACACCCACACCCAAGCTAGACCAGGGCGTGTCCAAAGGTGGCAGTGCCATAGGACGTCCTTCCCCGACTCTGGCCGAAACAGGAGGGCTACCGCGATAAAGCGGCGTCTGGCGCAGTAGCGTGGCGCCACCCGCAGGCGCGGCGCGGCCGCGGCGCCTCGATCGGGAGGATCGCGACGGCGGGGCTCACGAAGGGTTGCCCACTTCCACGGCGGCGCGAGAGAGCAGCGCGATGGGTTGCCAATCTCCACGGGGCGCGCCCGCGTCTTCTAAGAGTGCGCCGCGGAGGTCTTCTGCCTTCTGCCAGAGACGGTGCCCCCCCCCCCCCCCGCGATCAATGCACGGCACTGTTGAGACTGGAAAGTTGAGAGTTATCCTCTCTTGGTTGAGATGGAGCCACGGTGTGGATGAGGCGTTCGTAACGAATCAACGAGACAATCAAGGCGATCTGAATGCAACACTGCCGACTGATTCCGAAGAGCGCTCTCCTATACCTTCCGTATAGCTCCGTCGTTGTCGCACTCATGGAGTACCCCCCCTTGAGCGTTCTTCGGAATCAGTCTGCTGGTCAAACAAGAGGGCAAGTAGTGGGCCCAACAGGTGGACAACTTATTCTGGTCGGCGCTTTAGGGAGAGGGGGGAAGGGTGAAGGGGGGAAGAACTACAGAGAGTGTGAGGAGGGGGAAGGGGGTAACGGCATGTAAAATGTGGAGAAGGGGAGGGGGAGAACACACGTGCCAAAAGGAATATCCGCTTGGCAATCAAACTAGAACGGGCCGGTCAACGACCCTACGATAAGCCTAGGCGCTTGGTGGCCTGGCCGGCAGGGAGCGGGGCATTGGACAGAACTTGTGCCTTGGGCTTCGAATCCAAGCCGCGGCCGACGCATCGCCGTTATAAATTACAATGAATCCATCGCTGTCTGTCTAGTGATGGGTGGTCCATACCAGGGGTCCCAGGAGGGCAGCGGTTTGTAGGCTCCCATGACCGGCGGAGTAGCTGGACTTAAACAGACTGAAGAACCCCGCAAAGCTCATCTAGGCTTCTAGCCTTCAGGACGTGACCAAGTCACGGCGGAACGGGGGGCCGTGACTCAAAGTCAAACAGTTTTGTAGTCAGTCGGATAGGTAGTCAAAGTAAACAAGGTGCACAAAAATGAAAAAGAAGGTATGGAAAAGGTCTGATGAACATATTGACCTCGGTGCATTAAAGTTAGCCTCCACCAGCCCGCTGACTATTCAGTGCAAACTATTTGAGGAACAAAATAAAAGTGCTAGTGGGAGAAAAATAGATAGAAAAAATTGCCATTGGCATCTTTACAAACATATGTGATAATAGAAGAGACCAATTTTTTCACCGAAAAACCAAACCAAGTCCCAAAGATGATCAGAAAGAGTACTGAGATAAAGACATACATTTAATTGAGTGCATGGTAGGCATGCAAGTAGCCTTTTCACAGTAAACCGTAACCAACCCCAAGGTTCAATAGTTGGATCAAAACTTACAAAACCTGCCATAAGTCGTTGGAATAAACTTTACTGCGAATCATAGATCCACAGAAATTCCTGAAAGTATAGTTGGTAAATTTACTCTACAAATGAATTTGGTGATAGTGCGTTACAACTACACCAAGACAATTTAAGTACTTAATCGGAATCTTCCTAGGTGCATTTTATGGTGCCCCTTGGTCAATATGGTTTGAGTACATTATAGGTGTAATACAGGTAACTACCATTTGTCTATACTATGACAACTTTTACTCACCTTGCAGGTTGCGCAGGAAGGATCACAGGTGGCGGATTTCCACTGATTAGTGGAGATTCATCCTCAAAAGTTTCACAATATTGTGGACTTTGTAAAGAATCTGAAAGAATTGGGTAAACATGTGCATTTCAGTATATCAACAAAATTTGCTGGTGTTTAAATGATTTGATTGGTTTTTCATGAAAACTAGGGGAGAACGGTTTTGAAATAATTACTTACCCTTCGTCATTGATGACACACCACTAGAAGAAGTACTAATTGCAGGTTTTGCTTCAAAACCCATGTCTGATATAAGTTCAGCAACTTTTGAAGGTGAGAGATCTGACATTTTATCCAAATCAATAACAGCTTCTTTCTTTTCGAGGTTCACTTTGATACCATTAACTCCAACTACTTGGCCGATATTAGATTCAATAGAATTGACGCATGACTGACATGTCATGCCTTCAATTAGAATTGTACAACTTTCTTCAAACTCTGCCATTTTTCATGCAAGATGTAGAGTTTAGTATTTTAAAACCATATTCTCAAAATACCACAGATGAAAGGAAATCTGCAAATAGAGATAATCACAGCTCTAATAGACATTTTGGATGGGTGTCAATGAAAGTGTTGCTAGATGGAATGGTGAGAGCATAGTAAAACTTAGTGCATCACATGCAAAGAGATTAAGTGAGGGGTCTATAACCTTTCATTACACAATGGCACAGGTGTACACACCCACACAAAAACACACTCACACACACACACGAACTCACGAACACAGGAGTTTCAAAATAGTGACAATAAAACAACTGAGATAAAGACAGTTCTTCAGTTAGGGGACTTTCGCGACTTCTCGCATGATAGTGGAGTGGAGCGACAGCACGAGTGACTACTGGCACAGCGAGCGAAGTGGGAGGCACAGAGAAACTCTGATAATCCTACCCCACCATCTGTTGGCGATCAGTTGACGTCAAGCGATATAAACAATCCGACTCCGGTGCGTCCTCAATTTCCCCGAACAACGCTCCTTTGAGGAAAGGTTAGGTTAGGTTCTGTATCTAGTAAGTGAATAAAGTGGGATTGCGAGATATTCCTGCGAGCGAAAACCTCTATTTGCGCAATGTCAACTAAGAAAACACTCAACACACATTTGTAACCCTGGGCCACATAACCTCACATAATCTTTGACTCAACAAAAACAAAGGCAGAGGGTCTTTTATCAAAGGACTTCTTGTAAGTCATTTTTTAGGAGGTTAAAGGATGTTGGTTCGCACATGCACACACCTCAGTCTTGTCGTGAAAAATCACAACATCACGGTTTCATTTGTCAAAACACTTCTGCCTTCAAGCTTCTGCTTTTCATTCGTTCTCGTCTCGCTCATACGCACGCGACCGCGACGCCCTCTGGTGTAAGTCGAGAACAGCTTGGACTCCGTAGAGGCGCGCAATTCAAATCCAAATTGACATATGCCAATCAGAAGGGCGTTAAAAAAATAATAACAACAAAAAGTAAAAAGTTTAACGTTTTGGTGAAGATCAGACGGCACTATCATCGAACCCGTATGTTATCGTTCAAGGTGTCTCTATCGCGAAGAAACGCCCACCTGTGATAGCGCCTGCTACGCGCTGGGTAGGCCGACCCGCAAAGCACCTGTGTTGAGCCGGCGGCCCGCCCTGCGCCCCGCGGGCCGAAAGCGGGGGTTTAAGGCACGAGGGTGTTTGACGCCAAGCGTCAGGGGACGTTCATTCTAGGTGCATCTTTCCTTCCACGTTCAACCATATTTATTTATCAGATGTAATTTTTTGGTACAAAAGCGTAAACAACAATACTTCAGGTTTTCGTTTAAAAAGGGTCCCGGCCCCGGCCGGGCTCAGTTTAGAACGCCACGCGGGTGAGAAGGGCGGCCAGGAGCAGCACCAGGGCGTCGATCTGCGTGCGGGAGCTAGCCGCGGAGCGCTGTGTGGACGAGGGCACGGTTGGGGTTGTGGTGGGCCCGACCGGCTTGGTCGGCGTCGCCCTGGTCTGCTCGGTCGATCGGGTCTGCTCCGTCGTTCGGGTCGGCTCGGTGGTCCCCTGGGTCGGCTTGGTCTGCTCGGTGGTCATCTGGGTCGGCGTGGTCTGCTCGGTAGTCGCCTGGGTCGGCCTGGTCGGCTCGGTGGGGTCCACGGGCTCCGTGTTGGTGGCGGCGAACAGCCACTTGGACACGCTGTCGTAGTGCTTGCGGTACCAGTCCAGCTCCTTGTCGGCGGCCTTGAGGCGCAGCTCCAGCTCGAGGCGCTCCGTCCTCGTCTCGTCGGGGAAGATGGTGGTCACCAGGGCCTTGACCTGCAACAGATCGAGCGGTGGTAAACGCACCGAAAGGTCAACGGTCAGGAGCCGAGCCCACGAGAAGAGCAGTCATTACCTCGTCGAGCTCCTCCGGGGTGCGCACGTCCCCGACGAGGGCTATGAGCAGGTTGAAGTAGTACATTTTGCCGCTGGCGCTGGTGGACAGAGGGGAGAGTGTTGCACACTGCATTCCAGTTCGGAAGAAAGAGAGTATCGAAATGAAAACCGAACTGCCGCACTCACAATGACCTGATTCTCTTCCAGTTGTTCTTGTAGTAGTCGATCATAAACTTGTGGTTTTCCCATCGGACGATAATCGCGTCAACGAGCTGCTGGAGGTCGGAGGACGACTTGACGAGTGAGCCGTCCAGAATATCGTCGAGGACACTGTGCGAGAGAAAAGTATACGTCATGTAACCGATCAGTCGGATCGCCCGCCCCGCGTGTGGCCAGCAATGCGGTTCACTTACTTCTCGAGCAGCTTGTGCTCCAGGGTGCAAGCGAGGGCGGTGGCGTGGGCGGCCTGCTCCGTGGACGTCTCCGCGCTCTTCCACTCCTGGAGCACCTTCTCGAACAAGTCGGCCGAGTTCTGCACGCCGTAGCACAGAGCGGTCGTCCTGACGTCGGCGTGGATCCTGCGCAGAGAGTGGGTGCAGCATGAGGACGACCGTGTTTTCGAACGAGAAGAGCAGAAAAGCGGTGTGGGAACACGCACATCTCGCCCTCGTCGAGGGACATGGTGAGCGCCTTGACGGCGGCCTCCGCACAGAGCTCGTTGCCCGCGTCGCAGGCGTAGCTCGCCAGATAGTAGCGCAGGAAGCGCTCATCGTCCTTGGAAAAGTCCTTGAAGCTCTGCCAGGTGTCCGGCACTGAGAAGCCCACTGCGCTGTACGCGTCGGCGGTGATGTCCTTGATGAAGGCCTTGAGCGCGTAGCCGGCCGGGGTGGCCGTCAGCCTCTCACGGAGGAAGGTGAGGGCTACGACACCCGCCCTCCAGGGCGTAGCCTCGCGCTCGAGCTTGAGGCTCTGCAGGAAGGGCAGCGCCACCTCGTAGCTCAGCTTGCCGGCGCGGGCGAGGGCCAGCGCGTCGTGCACGAGCTGGGTGCGCGAGGACGCGTGCAGGGCGTTGGGGTTGGCGGCCAGCTCGGCGCTCAGCAGCTTCCAGTTGGCCTCGTCGTAGTTGACTAGGTAGTACCCTGGGAACAGTGCGAGGCAAAGGCAACCGTGAGCACCACCGGGCCTGCACGCGCCAGGGCTCTGCTGCCAGGCCGGGACTCACCGATCTGCCGGGGGTTGAGCACGATCCACTCGGTCTTGGACGCGTCCAGGTCGCGGGAGAGGCTGGGCGCCTCAGGGGTGAGCCAGCGCTTGTTGGCGGCGGCGGCGGTCAGACTCCAGCTCCAGTCGGCGCTCTTGGGCTGCACCTCCACGGGGATGGGGACGTACCACAGAGTGTCGCCGTCGCCGTCCTCGGACTCGGCGTACATGAACTTCTCCTGGCTGACGGTCAGCTGGGCCTTGTCGTAGTCGCGCGTGGCCGTCACGACGGGCACGCCGGCCTGCTCGGTCCACGTCTTGGCGACCTGGGCGAAGGTCACGCCCTCGGGCAGCGGAGACTCGGCCAGGAGCGCGATCTCGGCGTCCATGGCGCGGAACAAGCGGTCCGGGGAGCCGTTCTTGAAGGAGCTAGGAGAGAAGAAGCGGTCCAGGCGTGACTGAACGGACGGCTTACACTCGACAAACTCGGTGACGTAACTCACTTGACGGAGAGGTACCGGTGCATGGCCTTCTTGAACGTCTCCGTGCCCATGATGTGCTCGAACATGCGCAGCACGGCGCCCCCTGTGGGTGAGAAGAACGGAACATGAGTACCATTCTGGGTTGAAGGTATGTAGTCGCAAACAGCACTGTGCATAATGTACCCTTCTTGTATGAAATGCGGTCAAACTTGGCCTCGACGCCGTCTAGGGTGATTACCGGACTCGACATGGCCAGCTGCCCGGGGACCACGTCGTTTGCGATCCCCACGTGGACGTTGTCGGTCACGTATTTGTCCATCAACTTCCACTCGGGGATGATCTGCGCTCAAGGTTTTCAATCAGGCTTTCTCTCTGGTTTCAGATTGCACCACGACCACGGCCCTGTCGGCTCGGTCAGCACCTCCCCACCTTGTCGCAGATGACGCTCTCGAAGTAGGTGGCGAAGCCCTCGTTGAGCCACGTGTTGGACCACCAGTCCAGGGTGACCAGGTTGCCGGTCCACTGGTGGCCCAGCTCGTGGCAGACGGTGGTGCCGATGAACTCCCGGATGCGGATGTCGGTGGCCGACGACTCCAGGAGGTACTCCTCTCTGTAGGTGACGAGCCCCCAGTTCTCCATGGCGCCCGCGTCAAAGTCAGGGATGGCGAACTGGTCGACCTTGGGCAGGGCGTAGGCGATGCCCGTAAAGTCCTTGAGGCCCTCAAGGGCCGCGGGGCCGACCGACTGGGACAGCCACGAGGTCGACAAGGTGAGGAGGTTGTCCCTGCCCCAGGTCGAGAACGTTCCGTCCTTGCTCGACACGTACGAGAAGTCCGACACCACCCAGGCGAGCAGATACGTGGACATGGGCAGCGTTTCGTCGAACTCCGTGGTGACCGTCAGCAGCGTCCTGGCAAGCGCAAAAGGCAGACAGAGAGTTACCTTTGGTTACGGACCGATAATGACCTCCTAAAACTAATGCAGCGGCCCACTTGATTTCTTACGGTCGGGTCTGGCGAACAACCGGCATGTTGGACCTGGCGGTGAGGCCCCTGTCGTGCTCAATGATGATCTTGAACCGGGCCTTGAACTCAGGCTCGTCGAAGCAGGGGAAAGCGAACCGCGCGGCCGGGGGCTCAAACTGCGTTGTGCCGATGCGCCTGCGAACAAGAATTTTTCAAAACTATGATAAAATCATGCACAAAACCACGCGCATCATTTTTTTATTTTTTCATTTTGCGGAGGCGAGAGGTCACGCAAACTCACACAACGTTGCCGTACGAGTCCTCGTACGTGGAGAGGTAGAAGCCCTTGAGGTCATCGCGCAGGTAGGCGGCGAACACGGGGAAGCGCAGGAGGTAATGCTCGCCCACCTCCAGCTCCGTGGTGAGGTCCACGATGATGCGCTGCAGCTCCTCCAACGAGCTCAACCTCTTCAGCGTCGCGTTGCCGTTCCTGTTGGCCACAATTTACGGTTTTGCTAGTCGAGAGTAGTCATGATAGTATCCGCCTCCCTCCGATCCCGATCTGGTGCCTCACTTGGAGAACTCTTTGAGTTTGCGGTCCCACTTCAAGATCTGCACCTCCTTCATGGTGAGGTCGGGTGTGCCGTGCAAAGCGATCCTGGACGTCGCGCTGTTCACGTTCAGGTAAATGTCCGTGCTGCCGTAGAAGATGCCCTTGTCCAGGTTGGGCGACATCGTGACCTGCGCGGCAAACTTTTGGCTTTCAAAACGTTCCAGGGAGGTCGCCCTCGGGTTGCCCATTTTGCGAGTGTTCGGTTTGTGTGTACCGTATAACGCGTCGGCACGACGCTCGTGGGCAGCCTGCTCTCCTCGTAGATGTCGTCGTTGGCGTCTCGGCGATAGCGGCGGGCGGCGGCAGTGGACCTCTTCGCGGCCCGGGGCGGCGGCAGGGGGTCGGCCAGGCCGAAGGGGTAGGGCTGCGCGCCGCGGACCACCTCCATGCCGGGGACAGCGGCGGGCTTGGGCTTGGACACCAGGCGCGGCGGCAGCACCAGGCCGGAGGCCTCGGCCTGCTCGGCCAGGGTGCGGCCGGCGCGGACGTGGGCGGGCACCAACGCCAGGGGCTCGTGCGGCCCGGGCGCGGCCGAGGCGGCCACCACCACGGCGGCCACCGCCAGCAAGAGGGGGCAGCCTGTCATGGCTGAACAAAAGAGACGCTGTAGTTATTGTTTACAATTTTGCACTTATTTCTCCTCATTTTTCACAGTACATCCTTTAGCGTGGCAATCGTTAGACATGTGATGCCGCTGGGATAGATTAAAGCCTGGTAGCCCTGCCATGCCACCAGTACGACCCTACAGACTGCTCTTTGGCATTTCTGCACGCTTTCTACAACTGACAAGACGTTTCCCAAAATTGACACTTTTCCCCAACGCAATTTTTATGCGTAGCGTCGACGAGTGCATGGGATCAAACCACTAAAAGGGCTGAATTTCAGAGCTTTTCCAACTCCAAAGAAATCGAAGTCTGTTACGTTTAATCATATTATTCCTTATTTTGACAGTAATTTATTAACTCTGTTTTTACGAATTTACTCATGTAAGGTAAATGGGTCACAGATAAAGAAGGGCGGTAGCGACTGACACTTTGTCGAAATTTGATTGAGACTTGTTTGTTATTCTACAATTGCGCATATCTCCTGAAGAAGCACAGTCGATAGCTCATCACATGTCCAACTGCACTCATGAACAGAGTCGACAAGTTTAGTTTACATGCACTGCCAGCATTGATGTCGAACTCCAGCGCCGACTCACGAATCCGTGGTGAGAGATAAATGTGAATGTCTGTCAATTTGACAGGTTTTGACGGACCACCTTACCTGCTGCAGGCGACGCGAGACCGCCTAGCTGGGCTTATGAACTAGAGTGGCCCAATAATCCGCAAAAGTCGAAAGGCTCTGCCCGGTGTACACGCCAATCCCATAGGCCACCGGGCTCGGACACCAATTATCTAATCGGAACAGGCTCCTCGAGATATGCTACCAACTATTAAGCTGCGGTATGTAAAAGACGAGGTTCGGGTTCTATATTCGCTGACGTCACGGTTACGTGGCTTCCGTTTTATTCGGGATTCGGGCGTTATTGACAAAATGTTACAAAAAGTGATAAATGTGCACTCTGTTCATACAGATACACCCTGGAAGCTCATACAAAATAAGCTGCTCGCCACCGCCACGATCTAGACATCCAGCCAGTCAATCGCCGAAAGAGAGGGTGGTTGTGGCGGCGGAACGCGAACGTGTCATTTTGAGAAAGGGTGACTCCCCCTCCCCCCTCTCCCGGCCCCTTTGCGCGCGCCTCTATGCCGCCCAGTACCCTTGTCCTTCATAGTGCATTTTGGATCATCGTGTTTTTCCTTCGATAAATAATTTGTTGGCGCTTGTCGACTATTTAACCTTCAGTATATGCGGAGCTAACCCACCTGACTGCACTGCCTTGAGCAATTTTTGTCTTGCAATAGTAATACCCATGCAGGAAATGACTTGTCTTTGTCATTATGACTGGCTTCTTTTTTTTTTACAAACCGTTTGGGCGATGACAATATATTTGTTCAAAGGTGTATAGTCGTGGTTGGAGGCAAATTTTCGATTAATAAATGTGAGTACAGATTTTACAGCTTCGCTCTCGTATCAGCATCGATCTTTATTTATATTTGAATACTGGTGCGGTCTGCACGATGTGGGTCGCGTTGTCCACAAAGGCGCGCCGACTAGACGTTGCTCGAGATCCAGTCGGCCACGGTCTTGTAGTTCCTGCGGTACCAGTCGAGACTGACGTACGCGTCGAGGAAGGCGCTCTGCAGTACGTCGTAGCCCGCCTGGTTCTTGTAGTTGTACTCCACCCAGCGGCGGGCCTGTAAGCAACAACGAGTTGCCATTCAGTGGCGACCGCCAGCAGAGTGCGGAGGACGCGAGGGACTTGTTCGGCTTACTGAGCGCACACTACTTACGTCGTTCAGCGCGTCGGTCGAGGTGATCTGCTCGATGCAGTTGAGCATGAGCTTGACTGCGCCGCTGTTGGTGCTGCTGTTTTTGAAGCTATGGAGGGCGGACAAGTCACGATCAGAACGCGCGTTCGAATTGCTTTTTGTAACGCGTTATTTGCATCGGCGTGCGGCCAAACTACTTACAAGGAGTCGATCAGCTGGCTGTTGTCCTGGGCGAACTTGAACAGGGTTGGGATCTGCTCGGGCCTATTGAGGACCTCCTTCCACAAGTTGACCACCTCGTCCTGGTCGACCTTACTGCTGCTGCTGACGGTCTCCTTGAGGAGGCTGAGGGGGAAACGTCATCATCAATAGAGCCAGGGATACAGAACAGTGGCGCTGCTCGAGTCACTCGGCAGTGGCGCACTGGCCAGGGCGGGGAGGCGGAAATAACGCCCGCCCCCCTAAAAAGGTATCATTTCGAAAAAATTGCCCCCTAAAGCCCCCGACCCCTCCCCGCCCCTTAGTACGCCCTTGTTACTCGTCTCTGACCTGTCGAGGTGAGCGGCCTTGGCGCAGGCGAGGGACTGGAGCAGGATGGTGCGGGTCTTGGTGTCCTTCTCAGCGAGCCACGCGGCCTTCAGGCCGGCAAAGTTGGTGGCGGCGTCGTCGCCGCGCAGACCGTGGCACATGGTGACCAAGGAGGTGTCGGCGTCGAGCCTGTGACCAAGGAAGGGTTTGTAGCAACCATGCAGGCCCGCGCGGCAGCCGGGTTGGACGGGCGTGCCTACCTCGCACTCTGCAGGCGCGCATGCGGTAAGGGTCGGGTAGGCAGGCCCGCGCAGCAGCCGGGTCGGACGGGCGTGCCTACCCCGCACTCTGCAGGCGCGCAGGCCGCAGGGGTCTGGTAGGCGTGCGCAATCGGACGTGCCTGCCCTCAACGCCCTCAACACTGCAGGCGCGCAACCACGACTTACTTTGTGCTCTTGTCGGCCAGCCAGCTCTTCAGCAAGTTGTTAGCCTGCGAGATGCAGTCCTGGTTACCGGCGTTGCACGCGTGGCTGACCACGTAGTAGCGCAAATAGCGGGTCTCGTGGTCGGGGGCGCCGCCGTAGCCGACCGCCTCGTACGCATTCTGCGTCAGTTGCCTGACGAGGGTCTGTGGAGTGCGGTTTCGATCAGTTGATGTTTGACACAAGGGTTGAGGTCTAGGGTGCGGTTTTCTGTTAGTCCCCTACCAAGAACTTGTCCCAGACGTCAGTGCCGGCGAGCTTGGTGCGCATCCAGTTCAAGGAAGCGGTGGCCGTCTGCCAGGGCGCCACCTGGCGCTCCGTCTTCAGGAAGTTGAGGAAAGGCAGCGCGACCGAGTAGTCTAGCTGATTGCCGCGGGCCAGCGCGAGAGCGTCGTTAAGAAGCTGGGAACGCGTCGCGGGCGGGAAGTCGGACGGCTTCTTGGTGAGGGCGGCTAGGAGCAGCTTCCAGTTCTGCACGTCGTAGTTCACGCGATAGTAACCTGCACAGGCGAAGGGCGGGGGGAGTGAGTGGTGCGTTTTACACTAATATTGTTTCGACTGCTCTGCCTGACACCCGCGACAGCCTACCAATCTCCTTGGGGTTGACGAGAACCCACTCGGACGAGGAGCTGCTGACGGACGCGACGGTCTGCTCCTTGCTGGGCCACAGCCACGTGCTGGGCTTGAGGCTGTCCCAGTTGGCGCTCGCCTGCTGCGTCATGGTCACGGGGATGAACCAGCGCTGGTTCACGAGCGACGCGCGGTTGGGCGGCGCATAAAAGAAGCGTTTCTGGCTGAGTGTGATGGTCTTCTTGTCGTAGTCGCGGACGGCGCTCACGACCGGTACGCCGGGCTGCTCGGTCCAGGTGCTCGCGATGTCGCCGAACGTCACGCCGTCGGGCAGCACCTTGGCCTTCTGCGCCTCAAAGCCGATGGCATTGAACAGGTCCTCCGGCCTGGTGTTCTTGAACATGCTGCACCGAGCGAGCAAGGGAGCGGAGGTGTCGATTATAGGTTTGTTATCAATAATGCGATCATGAGAATAGCACACCGTTCTAGGCTCATGGTGGGAAGCGTGGAGCTTACTCACTGGATGCTGAGGTAGCGGTGCATGCCCGCCTTGAGCACGTCCACGCCCAGCATGTACTCCCACATGCGGATCACGGCGCCACCTGGAGGGGAAAAGCGGCCAGTATTAAGCAACGCACGCAGAAAATTGTTTAGTCCACCCGCAACAAAAACTGAAACCTCAATTTTAGCTCACTGAACCAGAACCAATGATGTAAAATCCGGAAAGTGGTAATTTAATATTCACTCGAGTTGTGTTGATCTTACTCTTGATTGACCTGGCCATGATTAGCTGTTAATCGGGGTTCTCATACTCTTGTTGGTCTCTTAAAAATAAATTTGGCTCTGTCGAGCTCTGTACAGCTGATTCACCTTTGGAGTAGGAGATGCGGTCGAACTTGGACGAGTCCTCGGCTGGGCTGGACACGGGGCTGCTCATGGCGACCTGCGTCTCCAGGACGTCGTACTCCATGGCCTGCTGGTGATCGTACACGACCCCCTTGTCGCGCAGGTGCCACTCGGGCTTGATCAGGTTGCAAATGTAGTTCTCGAAGTAGTCGGCGAAGCCCTCGTTGAGCCAGGTGTGCGACCACCAGTCCAGGGTGACCAGGTCGCCGGTCCACTGGTGGCCGAGCTCGTGGCAGATGGTCGTCATCATGTACTCGGCGATGCGAGCGTTCTGGCTGTCCTGCTCGATCAGGTACTCCTCCCTGGGGAGCACCACCCCGCCCGCGCGCGTTAGATTCCCTCCGGAGCACAGCGTCGGCCGCTCCTACCCGAAGGCCTACCGGTAGGTGACGAGTCCCCAGTTCTCCATGGCGCCGGCGGCGAAGTCCGGGATGGCGGCCTGGTCCTCCTTGGGCAGCATGTAGTCGATTCCGTTGTACTCCGCGAGCAGCTGCAGGGCCTTCTGGCCGATCACCTGACTGAAGTGGCCGCCGTCGAGCAGCTCCTTGCGCGCGTACAGCGTGAAGTTGCCCTCGCAGTTGGTGACGCTGCCGAAGTCCGACACGATGAAGGCGATCAGGTACGTGGAGATGGGCAGGGTGCCGTCAAACTGCACCTGGATGAGAGTAGGGTCCTTCTGGCTGGTGGAAGAACGTGCGTGTTAGAAGGTGAAGGTGGGTCCTGCGGTAATATTCGTTGATCTCCCACATAGTGCTCTATGGCTCATGCTGCAGAGAAACTCACTTGGGCGCGGACTGTACGATCGGCATGTTCGAGACGGCGTTCCGGTTCTTGTCGTGGTTGATGATGATGTAGAAGCGGGCCTTGAAGCTGGGCTCGTCCCAGCAAGGGAAGGCGCGCCGGGCGCCCGTCTCCTCGAACTGCGTCGTCGCGAGCCACCTGCCGAGGCCAGAGTCACACGCGGTCACAAGGCTGTCGGTGATGGTTCAGTGATTCCCTCACAACGGCATAGTGGTCGCGTACCTGGTCTCACCGTCGGCGGTCTTGTAAGACGACCTGTAGAATCCGTCGAGGTTGTCGTTCAGGATTCCGGTGTACTGGAGGACGAAGCGATAGCGGTTGCCCTTGGTCATCATCGTGTCGAGCTTGAGGCTCAGGAAGTCGTGCGTCTTGTCCAAGGTCATGGACTTGAGCTGCGCGAACGCAAAGTAGGTCATCCTGTCGTCCACGATGACGAAGGCATCCTTGTCGATGGTGAGCTCCTTGGCGTGTAACACGATCGTGTCCGTGTCTTCGACGCAGTTCACGATGATGAGTGCGTTTCCGTCGAAGGTGAATGTGTCGAAGTTGGGCGTCAGCTCGACCTGAGGGAGGAGTAGTTGTTCCGTTTCGTCAGGACGAAGGTTAGAGGGCAAGGGGCCATCTCACCGTGCCCACGGTTGACACCATGGCGGCGTGCTCACCTGGTACAACAAGGGGATGAGGCTGGACGGCAGCCTGTAGGGGTCGCCGTTGGCGCCGTCCACCAGCCTGGGGGCCTTCTTGGGGGCCCTGCGCCTAGGTGGGGGCAGCGGGTCGGCCATGTCCGGGGCCAGCTCGCGGGTCCGGTCGTCCAGGAGGTCGAGCGGGCTGCGCGGCGCGGCGGAGGAACCGCGGGGCACGGGGCCAGCCAGCGCGGGGGCCGCCAGGGCCGCGAGCAGCAGCAGCAGAGCCGGGCCGCACCTCGCCATGCTGGAGCTGGAGGAGCAACCAAATGAAGATTGGCTATATAGCTAGCGATATAGTTAAACAACTATCGCGTAGCTGTACAGCGAATCCTTTCTTATTTTGCGTGCAACAAACCGCCCTTACCTGAGGTTAGAACCGCGGGTCTTCTTCCTTCGGCCGCGGGAGGTCGGCACGAAGTGGTCGCGGCGCGGCGGGTCGTGGGGCGCGGCCGCGCGGCGCCGGACGCTTATCGACGGACAAGGAGAGGATTAGGGGCTTAACGGCGGCCGCAGAGGCGCCCCGGCACTGTCTTCTGACTCTTGAATCGAAAGTCACGACTGTTTTGTATTGAGTCGCCCTCTATTTTAACAGAGAGGCAGGGCGCAGTATACTTTGGATCCGCGAATAGCAGTGCGAAGGGTGTACACAAGAATTCGGAAAAGTCATCGGCTGCCAAGGGCTGGGGGTCTCCGTCACCCCCCCCCCCTGCTGGTCGGATGGGGCATTCTGCGAGGAATAAGGGATCATCCAGAAAGTACGTTCGTTTTTCTCAGATTTTTTCGGCACATTACAGAAGCTCGGCGCCTGCAACATTCAAGGTAGGCCAACCCGCCCTACACATATGCACCGTAGGCAAGATGTTGCCTACCTACCAGGCGCTAGGAGAGCTTGCAAGAGCTAAAATGAGCAGATTCGCTACGGAGAATGACGAACGTACTTTCTGGATGGTCCCTAATGCGCGCCATCACGTCGCCCACCGGCTATCGAACGGTCTAGCTGGCATTTAATCCAATAATCTCAACCCTTCTGCTAAGACGATGCCACGGAAAACTGTCAAAATGTGCACGTCGAAATAACAAGAAAAGAAAAAAACACGATACGCGCGTCAAGACGTCAGCAAGATGAAGCAGTAAGAAGATCCACTCCACACGTGGCATCACTCGCAGAATATTTCAGAATGTTGTAGATGTGGGACATGTTTTACATCAAAGAATTGTATCCCAAAAGACGCCAACTTTTATAAGCGGAACACTAAACACCATTTCGCTATATTTTGGAAGAATCGAAAGTAACATTACTAATCTTTCTATGGACTTGAGAAGCCACTGTATACTGCATCTCATTAGAGGGCTTATTTCGAGTTGTGTTTTTTGTGGGAGTAGCTTCTGTCCCTGCAGCTCACTCAAAGCGCGCATGTTGTGTCGATTGATAGGTAGGCAACCATTCGAACGGCAGTGAATGGTTTTGCCTATGAACTAGGCGGGTGCAGACCAACTCCTCCTGAGGATATGGGTCAGTCATTATCTTTTGACAAACCGCAGTCAGTTTGATGTGATAGCATGTGGACTTGGGTGACACGTGTCGTACAAAGTCATGAATAGGGTGTAATAACATACAAGTGAAATTTTCGTATTCTTTTCTTTATTTTGTTTTCGGATTTTCTCTAGTTTAAATTT